AATATATATAGGGGGCGCAGAGGAGAGATGCTTTTCTACTACAATCGCGCGATTTGGACAGTTTTTCGTTCGAATTTTGGAGTTCTATGATGCAGTCATTCGATTTTGATTATGTAATTGTCCTTGCTTGCGTTGGTGATGGAGTACTTAATTTTATAATAGAGAAAAAGTTAGAGGAAGAGACGTTCGATTTTCTGCCGTGTCGCGCGATTTGTTAATTTATTTTTCTCCCAAATCGCAAGTATAAGCTATAAAGTGGCAGTCGGCCGAGTGGCAGAGCGAGAGTGCCTCTTTTTCTATTGTTTCGCGAGTTTCTCCTTGCGATTCTGTTTTGTGGTACTGGTATAAAATTTGGACTATTTTGGACCACCTCTGTTGACCCTTTTTTGGCCCATCTCTTTCTCATTGTTGTCTTGACAAAAGGCTGTTTTTCTTCTTCTTCTTCTTCTTCTTCTTTTTTTCTTTTAACAGAAAAGAACTTTGTGGTACTAAAGGATAAATACATTGCATATATGTTCGATATCTCGACTAAGTTAACAAAAGTTTAGGGTGTTTGAATCTTAAGCCAAATAAAGAAAAAGCTTGAAAAATTAATAATACTTTAGAGATTAAAAAAACATATTTTTTTAATTAATTTGTATTAAAAAAATATAAAAATGACTATGAAATCATTTAAAAGATAAATATATTACATATTTAATTCCAGTGACTGATAATATGATGAGATAAGTAGCCATTGCATTTTTTTTTTTTTGAACGGTATTATACTCAAAAGTTAGAGGTTCAACCCCTACAAATAAACTTATAATTATTAAACTGTGAGTTCGGATGCAAATAATTGTACTTTTTTAACTTCTTTTAGGTGAGATTTTTATACATTTTTTAACTCGAACAAGAGGTGGCAAACGAGCGGGAGGTTGGCTCAGGTGGGTTTACTCATGTCATTGCTTCTGCAAATTGAGTTATATGCAAGTTGTGGGTCAGTAACTTGACCTGATGGGTCATGAGTTGACTCATAAGTTTTTTTTTTTTTTTTTATATTATTAGTCACACTTTTTATATTAATTTATTAAATTAAATGATAGTAATTTTGAATTACATATTACAAAATAAGTATTTATTAAATCTCAATTATCACATTTACTTTTGGTTTTTTTTCTAAAAAATATTATTATTTAGAGTACAAGTAACTTTTCAACACTTATATGTATATATATTCATAATTAATATGATACAATTTAGTATAAATTATTATTTAAACAAACAAGAATTGTTATCATAAATTAAGAAGTGACATCTTTATCTTTTAACTAAACAATATTAGACTTTTTTAAAAATTATATTTATTAGTTATTTTATTTTAAAAAATTACCTCATAAAATTATTTTAAATTTTTTTTAAAGTAAATTGGCTAAACGAGTCAAGTTATGAATTGCGAGTTAATTTGTATATTAATTGTGATCCGTTCAAATTGACCTTAATGGATCACCAATCTAATAATAATTGATTTTTAATTTACTTTTTTCTAGTTAAGTTAAGATCAAATTAACAAATAAGATTAGATTTTGGTCACCTCTAACTCGAACCTCTATTTTAATAGAGGGAGTCGACGCTTCGATTTTCTGCTCTGTGCGCAGCTCGTTAATCTATTCTTCTCTCAAATCGGATAGCAGTAGTATGTTACATGTAATAGTTGATGAAACATGTGATGAACGCACGTTAGGTCGAGAGGAAGACTCAGAGTCAGAGTGCCCCATTTTTCTGTAGCATCGCAAGATTCTTCTTGCTTTTCTTTCTTTCTTTTGATTTTGCACTATTGTGGACCCACCACATGTTGTCCAAGTCTTTCTTTCTAATAACAGTAACTGAAATTATAATCACCAATAATTTTATTAGTTTATAATTTATAGTTATTTATTTATAATATTTAAAAATATGTATTTTTAATTAATTTTAATTTATTAAATTTTAATTTTTAATTTTTTTTATTAATTATTAATTATTTTTAACAATTAAATTAAAATAAAAATTTAATAATTTTAATAATACTAATAAAATTAATAATGACCATACTCATACTCATAACAAATAATAGTTGATGAAATATGTTATCTAGAAGAGGCTCTCTTTTACACAAGGAGGAAAAAAAAAAAAAAACTTTATGATAAAAGAGAAGTTCACATGATATAATATATGTTATAAAAAGTCGTCAATTTATTAAAAATTTGAAGTTTTAAATTAAATCAAACACTTTAATAATTAAGGTTATTGTTTAATGAGAATCAGTACCTAAAAATCTAAAATTGTAGGTTGGATCGCCAAAGGGATCCTCTCCCTACCCCAATAAACATAAATATGTGACAGTTGCTTGCTCTTCTTTTACCTCGCTCGCGCAAGTTTAAGCGTTTTTGTTCAAGTTTTGATTTTGTTTTTTTGGTGATCAAGTACTTAATTGTGTAAAGAGAAAAATTAGAAAGGGGTAGATGATTCGATTTTCTTCTCCGTATGCAGTTTGTTAACCTATTTTCCTCTCAAATCTGATAGCATCGCAAGTATGTTATATGTAAGTAATTGCTGATGAAATATAAGACCGGCTGTAGGTCGGTCGTGAGCGAGGGTGATAGTGCCTCATTTTCTGTTTGTCGCAAGTTTCTTCTTGCTTTCTTTCTTTTTTGTTTTCAATTTGGACTATTTGGACCCACAACGTGTGTCCGGGTCTTTTTTTCTTTCTTTGGCGTAAAAGATGATGAAGTATGCTTCTAGATTAGACGAAAGGCTCTTCTTTGAACAAGAACAAGAACAAACTTTAAGGGAAAACAAATACACATACACATATTATATGTGTAAATATCATATCATGAAAAATACCATGACTAATAAAATTTTGAAATTCTAAATTAGATTACATACACTTCAAATACTAAAATTATTGATTTGTGACAATCACTTCTCATTCACTGTTAAACAAAAACATGTAGTAGTTGCTTGCTTTTCTAGAAATTCTTACCATAAAAAAACAAATCAAGCTAGAAAGCATTATTGATTCTCTACCATGCTTTCTAGTTAGCTTGATAACTTCCCTGGTGGTCCTAGAGTCAAATCTAAATTTAATACAATTTCCTTTGGACCGCTGACCAATCCTAAATTTGTCGTCTTAGAACTATTGAATAAAGCTTCACCAAATTGATTGAATTCTGCTTTCTGTTTAGACTTGTAAGGCGTTGCGACCCCAAAATTTCCATTAGGTGGAGACACCCGGGTTGCTCTGTTCACCTCCATCCGGTATTGCAATCCTGCTTCATCTTCCTCCTTGTAGAGGGCCACTACATCACCGACATTCAAGTGGTTCTCGCAAACAAAGGGAATCCAACCAATAGAGAGAACAGGTTTTTTATACCCCTGTTTCCTAGTGCTGCATACCATCGGCCAAACCCTTCCCTCGTACAAAACGTTCAAGTTTACAGCGTGGCCTCCATTGAAATGTGGAAGGAATTCGAGACTCTTTGTCCGGATAGCCAGCCTTTTGGTGATATCAGTAGGTTTCAGAGGTTTCTTAAAGAGCATGATTGGGTGAGGCATGGTGGTAAGATTGTGGGAATTTTCAATTCCAATTCTAAAAGAAGAAAAAGTGAAGTAGGGGAGATTGAAGATGCTTTGGTGGATGAAGTAGCAGGTGTAAGTGTTACATCTATTTATATTGTGTACTTGAATCTACATGTGAAGTATCATGTTTAACCCTATGATTATGTTCAGGTTGAAAATTCAACCATAATGGGCCATCTTTCTTGGGGGCAATTGTTCTTTGGGATCTGGTAAAAGATCCATCTTTTCTTCTACGTAATTTAGTGCCATAAGGGACCCATCAATTACAAAGGAAAGATGTAGAGATCCAATTGGACGTGGGGAGGGATCAAGTGATATTGCAGAGATTAAAGCGAGAGTACTCAATTTTGCACAGTACCGACGACGTGTAAAGCGGAGAATTGCTATATAATTATAAAAAAAAAGTATAGTGTAATTTAAATAATTAGATAAAAAAATGAGTTATTTACATTGAAAATTATATTTTCATTGCATGATTTTTACTTTATAGTTAGTACAGTCTAAATATAACAGATAACTCATATAATTAAATCTCATTATTCGGCCAATTATGGATAGGAAATAGTTGAATTTGTGGACAAGGGAACTGATTCGGAAGTAAACCCTCCCTTAACCTTCTTGTGGCAGCTTGGGCCCACCACGTCGACCATACCCAACCCAAAATCGGACAAACATGAAATTGAGATCCTTTCGTTGGGCCTGATGTGAAGGCTTGGTTCTGACTTTCAGTTTCTGAGGCCTAATATCAAGCCCAATAATGATATTTTGTCGCCTAGCAAAATAATGATTAAATAATAAATAGAATCATCTTGGAACAAAAGAGTCCCAAAATAAAATACAAACTTGGGTTAGCTTCGGCCTAAAGAGGTCCCAAGTATATTTTTCTTCCTCTTCTTTTCTCTATTTTTCTTGAGCCAAATATATTGTAAATATATATATTATTTTCAATTACATTTTGGTACTGGATCACATAATTTGACTTGAAATATGGATTACAAAACACTTTGATTACCATTATTATATGAATGCTATTAATTAGTGGTTGTTTTTCTCTAACATAGCAAATTAAAAAAAATAAAATAAAAAGGGATTAAGTTGTAATTACAAAAGTATGACTCTATATGAGGATTCAGGATTTAAGAACTTAACTTAATTTGGTCAATCAACCCTTAGACTCCTTAAAAAAAAAAAAAAATTATCAAGGCATTTTTGGACTAATTTGTGTATAATTCGAGATTAGTCCCGTTTGAATTTAATAAAAAACGAGTTATTTGCACTATGACTAGAAGAATGAGAAATTATCTCTTTGTAGCCTCCAATAAATAATTGATTAACAAAGTGAGAGACAAACCTAAGTCACAACTCCTTTGATAATCCTTAAACTCTTAAAACCAATTCAATTATTTTTTTTTAGTACATTTAAGGATGAATTACATAACAATAAATAACTCTTACTTTTTTGAATCCTTCCCCATCTGCTTTAAAATTATAACTATTTCTTTTTCTTTTTAACATGTCTCAATTTTAAACTTAAATTTATAATTTAGTCTTAAGTTATTACCAAATAATTCCCTATGGGGGATACAATTCAATCATTAGTTGTTTCCAATGCGGTGAAGCATGCTTGTTGTGATTAATTTGACGCCCAAAAATTATGGATCAGTTATTATTATTATTATTTTTTTGTCCTCTCTAATGCATCGTGTCTGGGGTTGACCCTGTAAACAGCGCATTTTTTTTGCTTTTTTAAATTGTCTTCTTCAACGCAACATATGTCTGGGGTTGACCCTGGAAACAATTTCTTTCTTTCTTTGTTCTTCCTTTAAAAAAAAAAACAAAGAAAAAGAAAAATTGTCATCTTCAACGCAGCATATGTCTGGGGTTGACTCTGGAAACAATTTCTTTCTTTCTTTCTTTTTTTAACACGCAGCAAACAAATTAGCAGGTAGCAGTGCTCTGATAATCTGTTTGCATTGTAGCTCAATTTCGGGACAGGAACAAAAGAGGAGACTTTAAATAGTTAGGTGTTTTTTTAACTTGTATCTTACAAAGTATATGTTAATTATGCAATTAATGTACTCTTTCAATATTAAATTGTATAAAGAAATATAAAAACTGATCTTAACTTTACCATTAATGTCGTGTATTTTAATAGGATTATTGATTAAATAAAAGTAATTTTTTTAATATAAATTAATATAAAAATATGTTAATTACGTTACTAGCATTCACCCTAACGGTAAACATTAGTAAAATCCAATATTTAATACCATATACAATAAATAAATTCGGAATCATCAACTATGCATACACAACATAAAAAGAGAAATGCATGTTGGGCAGCTGGTAGAGCAAGTGACTAAGCTAGACTTCCGTCCTGTACATGGCTACAGGTAAAGGGTTCTTGTGTGTGTCTATGTATTCGACTCGTTTCATGTTAAGCGAGACAATTTTACATTAAAATAACGAAATAAACATAAATTAAATATAAAATGAGTAATTTCACTAATCACCAAATGATTATAATTTGAATGCTCTTTTATATTTCAACTCATATGTCAAACTTTTCCTAGGTCATTCTTCTTTTTCCTAATCTCCCACTCAAATA